TGTTTTTTTAATTCATGTGGTCATAGTTGTCCACAACTCAAATCAGAATATAAGAAGAAATGTTTTATACCACCTCAAGAAGGCTTCCTATCAGAAAGGTAGGAAGGTATTTCAAATGTACAACTGCAGTCCTGAAATCTAAGTAAAGTAATTTCCCTGACATTTTTGTGTTACTTTACTTTTAATAGTCCCATGTAAGAGGTTTTATACTTCCTGTGAGTATAATCCAATCAATCTTATTTTCATACTGTATATCCGTTGTGTAATTTGATAAATTGTGTTGTATGTCGTGCTCGCATCTCAGAGAAGACTCTGACTGCAACATGCGTCTTTGTAAAGAGAGAAACGGACAGAAAAAGTCTCTAACTCTGCCTGTCAGCTCGCTCTGCTCCGTTAAAACTGAATTTACCATACAGAATTGAATACGAGTGCACTCCAGATTTAGCTGCAGCCAGCTGACCGTGTGCTTCTCCCTATACCGCAGTTCTGTGTCCATGCATGCAGCAAACTGAAAGCACTGTCTGTCGTGCTTCTACGTGAAAAGAGAAGGAAGACATTGCTGGTAGTATTGTCTTCAGAGTTGTTAAACACCTCAGCGCACTGAAGGAAGCCATCTGACTGTGTGAGGGGCAAGATCGTTGATGTCTGCAGGCAGAGTAGGAGCTCTCCTGTCTGACTGGTCCACCAATAGCAGAGAAGATGACCCCTTGAGACACAGCCCCTCCTCATTTGCATAATGAGGCAGAAATGCATACAAAAATTTAAAAAGACAGGCAGAAATAAATACCATGGGTGAAAATAAATAAGGTAAATAAATACAAAGGAAGAATAAAACAGACAAAAATATTAAAACACACACATAAATAAATACATTAAAAAATTAGTAATAAATAAAGTTGAATAAACAAATAAGGTAATTATAACAAAGGTGAATAAGTAAAGGCACTAATTAAAATATATACATTTATGTCTCCTTGTATAATTTAATTACTACCTACATTTATTTATTTACTTAATTTTTTTGTGTATTTAATTGGATGCTTATTTATTTATTGAGCATTTATTTATTTCTGTATTTATTTCTGACTGTGTCAGGATCGGTCCTCCATAGCGGGGTGGGAGAGTTATCAAGCACGTAAAGTTTGGTTCAGATGTGAGCATGTACACTGAAGTTACAACAACTTCCTGTGTCATGGCGAAGACTTGATCTCTGACGCCACGCCACGGACACACCCATTGACGAAAACTCGCAAATAGCACAACTTTTCATCTTCAATGCCTTTAGAAGGCACAGCACAAATTTGAAGTCGGTCGGACTAAATCCCTAGGAGGAGTTCGTTAAAGTACGAAGTGTGTAAATCATCCAAATTTGACGTAAAATTCAAAATGGCCGACTTCCTGTTGATTTTAGGGCATCGCTCCAAGAGGCTTTTTTGTGCGTCTGGACAAGATACACGTACCACAGAAAATTCGTGCACGTAGGTAAACGTGCGGCGGGGGCTGCTTCGTTAAAAGTCACTTCCTGTTGCCAGCAGGTGGCGCTATGACTGTCTGTGAATGTCAGCATGTACATGTGTTCAGGGCGGGACTCTCATCCTACATGTACAGTTTGGTCCAGATGTGAGCATGTACACTGAAGTTACGACAACTTCCGTGTCATGGCGAAGAGTTGATCTTTGACGCCACGCCACGGACACGCCCATTGACGAAAACTTGCAAATAGCACAACTTTTCATCTTCAATGCCTTTAGAAGGCACAGCACAAATTTGAGGTCGGTCGGACTAAATCCCTAGGAGGAGTTCGTTAAAGTACGAAGTGTGTAAATCATCCAAAATTTGACGTAAAATTCAAAATGGCCGACTTCCTGTTGATTTTAGGGCATCGCTCCAAGAGGCTTTTTTGTGCGTCTGGACAAGATACACGTACCACAGAAAATTCGTGCACGTAGGTAAACGTGCGGCGGGGGCTGCTTCGTTAAAAGTCACTTCCTGTTGCCAGCAGGTGGCGCTATGACTGTCTGTGAATGTCAGCATGTACATGTGTTCAGGGCGGGACTCTCATCCTACATGTACAGTTTGGTCCAGATGTGAGCATGTACACTGAAGTTACGACAACTTCCGTGTCATGGCGAAGAGTTGATCTTTGACGCCACGCCACGGACACGCCCATTGACGAAAACTTGCAAATAGCACAACTTTTCATCTTCAATGCCTTTAGAAGGCACAGCAGAAATTTGAGGTCGGTCGGACTAAATCCCTAGGAGGAGTTCGTTAAAGTACGAAGTGTGTAAATCATCCAAAATTTGACGTAAAATTCAAAATGGCCGACTTCCTGTTGGGTTTAGGCTATGGCTCCAAGAGACTTTTTTGTGCGTCTGGACAAGATACACGTACCACAGAAAATTCGTGCACGTAGGTGAAACGTGCGGCGGGGGCTGCTTCGTTAAAGGTCACTTTCTATTGCCAGCAGGTGGCGCTATGACTGTGGGTGAATGTCGGCATGTACATGTGTTCAGGGCGGGACTCTCATCCTAGATGTACAGTTTGGTCCAGATGTGAGCATGTACACTGAAGTTACAACAACTTCCTGTTTCATAGCGAATCATCGACGCCACGGACACGCCCATTGACGAAAACTCGCAAATAGCACAACTTTTCATCGTCAATGCCTTTAGAAGGCACAGCAGAAATTTGACGTCGATCCGACTAAATCCCTAGGAGGAGTTCGTTAAAGTACGAAGTGTGTAAATCATCCAAAAATGGCCATAAAATTCAAAATGGCCGACTTCCTGTTGACTTTAGGCTATGGGTTCTTGAGGCTTTTTTGTGCGTCTTGACATGATACATGTCCCCAGAAAATTTCGTAGATGTAGGTTGAACGTGAACGAGGGGCTAATTTTCCAATTTTCTAGGTGGCGCTAGCGAGTCATTTTGCACGCCCATGTGCGAAACTTGTAGAATACGAAATTTTTCACCGGTTCTGACATGTTTGCAAATTTTGGTGAGTTTTCGAGTATGTTTAGGCCATGTCATTTGGGCCTACTTTGCAGAAAAAAAAAAAAAAAAAAAAAAAAAAAAAAAAATAATCCGAGCAAATTCAATAGGGACCTCGCACGGTCGTGCTCGGCCCTAATAATCCGAGCAGATTCAATAGGGACCTCGCACGGTCGTGCTCGGGCCCTAATATATATAATCCGAGCAGATTCAATAGGGACCTCGCACGGTCGTGCTCGGGCCCTAATAATCCGAGCAAATTCAATGGGGACCTCACACGGTCGTGCTCGGGCCCTAAAAATCCGAGCAAATTCAATAGGGACCTCACACGGTCGTGCTCGGGCCCTAATAATCCGAGCAAATTCAATAGGGACCTCGCACGGTCGTGCTCGGGCCCTAATAATCCGAGCAAATTCAATAGGGACCTCGCACGGTCGTGCTCGGGCCCTAATAATCCGAGCAAATTCAATATGGACCTCGCACGGTCGTGCTCGGGCCCTAAATATAATCCGAGCAAATTCAATAGGGACCTCGCACGGTCGTGGTCGGGCCCTAATAATCCGAGCAAATTCAATAGGGACCTCGCACGGTCGTGCTCGGGCCCTAATAATCCGAGCAAATTCAATAGGGACCTCGCACGGTTGTGCTCGGGCCCTAAAAACAATTGTTTTTTCATAAAGCAGATTTTTCAGTGTGTGAGATCCTTTCTTACTTTATGGCAAAGTGGCTTTTCCACTTCAGTGACTCAAATACAACCGGTCTGTAACTATGTGTCCTCTGCTGATATCTACTGTCCATCTTTGTAGCACAGCCTCAGTTTTTTGTTTACTGTAATGAGAATGTTTCAAAACAGAGACCAGATTTTTTGGGAATACAATAAAACATAGACACAAATGGACTTTTTAATCACATTACTTTTAAGTGAAGTGACGTCCCCAAACTACAATGAGGTGTACAGTGAATTCTATAGTAAAGTACTTGTTGAGGTCTGGTTATGAGAATAAACTAATCTCTACTTTGGGGAGCTAATGGTATTGTTACAATGGATGATGAAGATTGTTAATCTGGTATTTATATTGTAATTTTGAGAAAATGAATAACTACGGTAATGCGCTATTAGATTAATAGTAATGCCATTATTAACATTTTATAATTAGCCTATAATGTAGCCCATTAAAGCATATGTTTCAATAAATTAAAATCGCCTTTAGCCTGGTCATATTAATGTAGCTCGGAAATTTGGTCAACACAAGTCCACACATCAGGAGGACAATCACATCGACAGAATGAAAGGACACATATCAACGACAGAGGGAGAAGACATGTAGTAACGACACATAGCAACGACAGGGGGAGACAACATGTAGTAACGGCGAAGCACCGACAGAGGGAGACGACACATTTTAACGACACATGGCCATTCACAGTTAGCAAATACAGAGGAAGACATCACAGTCAAAGGACAAGGAGGGCAAGAGACGAGATAAACAAGTTGAGTTGACACAGTCATGTGAAGCATCGACATAGACAATAAGCTTGCCGACTTATTTTTGGCACAAACGGAACCCCATATTCTTCAGCATCTGTGTGTGTAGTACCGTCGCTCTGCAGCTCGGCAGAGCAGCGATGAAAGGCAGCCTCCCTAGTCCTAGTGCCCGACCACAGAAGGAATTTAAATTATGAAGTACAGGAAACAACCAGAAGGATTACTGTGGCCTCAGCCCTCCTAAAATAGGCCTAAAGACGTCCAAATGTTAGTGTAGTTTCGGAATTTAAAAATCCTACATGTTAACCAGCGAAGTCACACGGAACTCAAATTTGAAAGAAATGTCCCCCATCGTGCGGCTTAGGGTGTTACACACCTTCAACAAGCCTGCATCGGTGCTCACTCGGCATTGGAGGGTTCAACAACCCACTACCACTCCGCCCTCATTGGTTTCGGATGGCACTCAATGTGGCGGACCCTCTGCATGAACGCGCAAGCAGAGTGGAAGTAGGTAGGGAGAAGGAGTTGCAAGAAGTTTCGGAAAGGCCCATCATAGCTTCGCTGTTTTCCATAACAACCGGGGACGCTTTCTCCTGATTGGCTGCTGCTACATCCTGTGTTTTCAGGCCTCGCTAGCAGATGCTATTTTAAACCACACTCCCTTCACGAGCTGGGGATTAACAAGTACATCTTAGAAAAGGCGTAAATCAGTACTATCATACTTGTCTATCGGCGGCCGTTCGAGTGAAGGAATCTGATAAACATGAGTTAGTAACTTAGACACGGAAAAGAAAGCTGAGCTGCACCGACTGTTGACAACGGTTCTTCTGCGGAATTACTGACACCAACGTTAACTTAATGTGAAGCTTCCAGCTCCTCATTAATGAATAAAGACAAGTCAGCGGTGAAAACAGCTCTTCTGTTGTGTCGCCAGAATGCACAAGGGGTGGTTTGCTGGACGCCATGTCTGCCGTTGAGTAAGAATAATGCCTTGAAGATAGTGAACATTAGCTCGGGATTTTTTACTTAAACCAGTCAAAGCCGTTCCTTTTAGGAACATCTACTTTAAGAAAGCTTACGTCGTGGTGAAGTGGATGCTGTGGGTTCTTTGCCACAGTCACAGGTGAAATCAGTGCCACTGTTAAAATAAAAGGTAACGTTATTAGCAATCTCCTGTGATTTGCAGTAATGGAAGAAGGACGTTATTCTGATCCTTAACAAAAAAGGAGCATTACAGTGATGTTAAAATACACCATAACAAGTCTTAGATTCAAAGATGTGCTAAAGTTACTATGATGTGCTAAAGTTACTATAAATGGGGCTGCTGTGTCTCAGGAGTTAGAGCGGGTTGGCCGTTATCGGAAGGTCGGCGGTTCAATCCCTGGCTCCCCCTGGTTGCGTGTCGAAGTGTCCTTGGGCAAGATACTGAACCCCGAATTTCCCCTGGCGGCTGTTCCGTGTTCAGTGTATGAATGTGTGTGAATGTTAGTTTCTGTTTGAGCACTTAGGCTGTGTGTGAATGCAGATGCTGTGTGAAGTGTAAAAGCGCTTTCAAAAAGACTAGAAAGGCGCTATACAATTACGGAGCATTTAAATACTTCCCATCATAACTAATTAATTGCCCTGTCAGTGTTATATTTGCATGCATCAATTTTAGTGTTAGTGTTAGTGTTAGTAGCAACAATCTATAACAATCACACTTGATTCATTACTTTGATTTGAAATCTGGATCTGTAAAGTAACTGTAGCCGTAAGGTAAATGTAGTGAAGTAAAAAGTACAATATTTCCCTTTGAAATATGGGGGAATATAGGTAGCCTATACAGTAGCATCACATGGAAATACTCAAGTAAAGTACAAAAGTACCTCAAAATTGTCCTGGAAATCAGGCAAACACGGAGCACTGTTGACCATTCTAAAACTATTATGAACAGGGAGTTCCAAGTTGGCAGCAGGTAGAGCAGGGCCACTCTGAAACATCTGTCCAGGGGCTACAGATGAAAAGCAGCCTCTTAGCTAGCTCGGGAACATTTACAGCAATGCTATCTGAAATATGAATGTGCACTTTCCCTGTTAAATAAACCAAAGAAAAAAAACAACACAGGTGATGAAATGTGTTTCAGTGTCATAGAATTAAAAAGAAGAAGTACAGACATCGTTTGGTGGTTTGGCTGGTGTCTAAATGATTGTTCTGATGAGAAAAATCTTTTTGTAACGCCGTTTCATCAAGGCTTAAAATATTAATATTTTAGGCACAATGTCCAGCTGTGACACTTTGCTGAGTTACAAATGAGACAACCCTATCATACACACACAAACACCCCAGCCTGAAAAGCATCTCTGATGGCAGAATGAAACACTACTAATGGAGAGGTCGTCTGTTTACAGCTTTGCTGTATCGTCTGGGATGGATCACAACAACCCAGAGATGATGAAAGATACATCACCTGGCCTGACAGCAGGTGATGTATATGTGTATATACACACAGAAACAGACAAACATATTGGTCAGAAAGTAGCACAGCCAACTGTGGCACCTTGTTTATTTGTGTTCTCTCATATCAAGAACACACAACACTGCAGAGGACAAGAGAAATGCATTGGCATTTCTGCATGCACATGTCTATCCAGTGGTGATAGTGTGATGCTGTGGTCTAATATTTTGGGGTTTGTTTGTCTCTCTTTCAGATTTGGATAATTCTGAGTCCTTCTGTCCAGAAAAGGAGCAGGTTAGTTGTTTTTTTCTGTCCAAAATTTATATTGTTTGATTTGACCGGTGGCTCCTCTGGTCTGCATGTCAAAGTGCCCTTGGGCAAGATACTGAGCCCAAATTGCTCCTGGTGTGCGCGTGAGTATATGTGAATGATTAGTTTCTTTCTAAGGGCAAATGGTACTTTGCATGGCAGCTTCACTGTATGAGTATGTGAGAATGTGACATGTTGGGTCCTATCTTGCACCCGGAGCAAAGCAGCGCAAGTGACATTGTGAGTTTCCAACCGATGCAGTTGTCATTTTCTCGCCCATGTTGTTTAAATACTTGCGTCCATCTGTGCGCCCATGGGAGTGTTGGTCTTAAAAAGTGTGGTCAGGTAAATTTTTGTCACATTGCTATCTTGAGAAGCAATTGACCAAAATACAGGTCTAGGGCCCTATTTTAACGATTAGTCATGGGTGTGTTTTGGGTGTAACATGAACCAAACATGTGTCATCTCCCATTCCCTTTAAAAGCCAGGTGCATTTGTACCTTGGAGCATTGCTATTAGGGCTGAACGATTTTGGAAAATAATCTAATAGCAATTTTTTGCGATTTAATATGCGATTCATTTTTAAGCTCTTTACCTTGTGTAATGGACAAGCAGTAAATCAGTGTATAGTATGACCAACACAATATTAGATAGATTTATCATACTCTGTTCCTTCTTGTGGGTCAGGCTGTGTTATGATGAATTAGGTAGAATTATTATTATGAGCAATGGTGGAGAGATATTATCAAATTGTAATATATGAGAAAATCATTTGAGTCAAGTCATTGCATTAAATAATATGATATAATATCATCAGTCGGCCTACCTACAGACC